ATAGATAGATAGATAGATAGATAGATAGATAGATAGATAGATAGATAAGGTTGCAAATGGAAAAATCCAATTAAATTGTTTTAAAAATCCACGTTTGGTTTTATAGTTTTATACCTCCTTTATGTCAATATAAATTTTAAGTCGATCATTAAAAAAACTTCTCATATTTCTTCTCAGTTAACATAAGATAATGAAGGTGTATAGTTTTTTATATTTAAAATCACAATTTATTGTATAATATGTTGATAGAAGAGGTGTTGGCTTTAGATTTAACCCAGTATGTTAATGCTTTGTTTCTGAATTCTCAAAAAACATTGCGTGTTTCATAAAGTAAGAATGACTTGCAGGAATTAGACTTCTAAAACTTCTCAGTTCTAGGAGCAATCTTAGATTCTTTTCATGATGCTTAATCACATTCCCTGATCACTTGGATTTTAACTTCTCTGCCTTGAAAAATTGATTTTGCCATAGTTTTTGATATTTTGGGGGTAGGCAGGGGAGAGGAAGTATATCTTGATCCAGTTTAACAAATTGTGTGCAGCTGTTCTATGTTTTAGTATACTATGGGAATATAAATATACATAGAAAAGAATAAAATGTAAGAAGTGGAGTTCACTTCACATTTGTATGGCTGTAAAATACTTATACTTCAAATGTAGTAATGCATTTGGTGATCTGCTTGTGGCACAGGAAGAGAAGGTTAAAAAATGATCAGTTTTTTTGTGGTTGTTAATAGGTAATATTAAGTTGTGGAATGCATACTTCTAGTGGAAGACTGCTACAAATCACACAGTATACCAGCCTATTTTAATGGTTTGATTTGTAGGTGCTCTGCACTCTACAAAGTAGAGGCCCAGGAGTGGAAGGCAGATTTTTCACCTCTCTCTAGGAGTTCAAGGTGATGCATACTGAAAAAAATCTTTATTTTGTCCTTGTGGAAAAAATGAGTTAAATGGCTGAAGAGATAGCGATCAGGCCAAATTGTCCAGGGAGCTCTTGATGGAGATTTGTATTTGACTCCCCTTGTTTCCAATCCAGTCTTAACATATATAAATGCTCTTAGTATAGATGAATGATTATTTAAATTTAGCTTGTTTTCTTGTAAGATTTCTCTGCCTCTTTTTATGAAAGAATGTGATCTATATTTATTCTTCTTCCAGTAGCTTTTTACTCATTATGCCTTCAGCAAGTTGTTCCATTGAATAAAAAAAATTAAGTATTCAAGCATCAAAGACTTTTGTAGCCTCTTGAAGATTAACAAATCCATTTCAGTATAAGCTTTCAAGGAGTAGTCCATTTCATCTGGGCCACATAAGCTGATGCTGTTATACATATGTTATCCTTTAAGGAGCCTCAAGACCTTGATTTAAATTTGGTACAACAGACTAGCATGATTATGCCTTTGCCTGTGTTTAGTTCAATGAAACTACCCAAGACAAATCAAGCTGCCACTGTTGTATTTATCAAGAAATCACTGCATTTTAGATGTTATAAAATTAGATCAAACAGAACATCTACATGAGAAAAATATGGCTTATCTGCAAGGAGCAACTTTTCAATTCACTTAACAGAAGGGGTTAGTTATCTTTAGCTGTCTTATGCATGAATGGCAAAATGGTATAAACTATATTTTTTTGATTGGTTCTCACTAGGAAAGCTCTAAATAGCCCTAAATAGCACTTTTATAGGATGGAATGGATTGTCCCTAATTTATTGGTGATGATTTTGGAAGCAGCCTACCCTTATCTACTTTAATGTTTTTTAAAAGCTGTAGATGTTTATTAATATCATTTGTTCTAAAATGTCTTGATGTTAGTTTTGGAGCCTAACTTGCAAGAAGTCTTGGTGACTAGCTTATTGTTGAAAACAGTAAGGAGTAAGGAGGAGAGGGGCCTTTTGCTGAACTGTCCCCCGTTAAAACAATGTAAAACCAAATAAAAACTGCTCAAGGAGCCACAATGAGAAACTGGGACTGTTGTGGTGGACTGAACCAATAGTGCTGTGGAGGAACGCAGCCATGCACATATGTAAATTAAGAAACCACAACAGCAGTCCCATTCAAAATAGACGCACTGCAGTTGTTGAGTATACTTATTTGCATTTGATTTCTAATTTCAGATTGACCCCACATGGGTCAGACAGGGAATTTAAAGGGCTGGATGTGGTCTGGGGGCTATAAAATGCTCAGGATTGATTTATCTACAGTGTTAATGATTCATAAAATAAGTTGCTGAAACATCAGCCACTAAAAGTTCCATTTCAAAGTGTCTTGCTGATATCTTACATACAAGGTTAATGTTACCTTGAGTTCCATCCATGAATACATAAAATACATAAAAACACTCATATGGCACCAGACTAGTTCCACTAGAACCAAGTAAACATAATTTGAACTAGTTTTGCATTTGTAAATTTTGTATGATAACAATCAGCTCACCTTGAACTATTTGTTTCAACCACTCAAATAGCTTTTGGAAGGCAAAAGCTACTCTGAAGTGATGTTCAATGCTCCTGAAAAGCAGAAAAAATGTTAACTTGGCCTTTTCTTTTCCTCCATTTCTGAATGAAGGATATAAGAGTCTCATAACAGAATTATGTTTACTGGAGCAAGAACCAGGGAGGAGTACAACAGACATTATACTAACCAAGTGAAATCACTGCTGGCACTTCAAAAATATTTGATTGGGAAATGTTCTGGATATACTATCAAATTCAAAGCCATCCTAGTTTTGAAGTTATTGTATTAATGTGGCTTGAAAAATATGAGTACTTTTAGAATATCAGAGAAAAATAGGCTCTGTCTCAGAGGTTGACTTCATCTGTAGTATTATTAAGTCACTTTTCCAATAGGTTTGAAGTTGGCTTATCACATTGCATAAAGCAAGCAAGTTGTCGTTTGTTAAAATGATTTGGTATGATGTACAAGCCAAGCCACAGTGTGATTAGATGAAGCTCTTCCAGTAGCAGATTTGGGAGTATTAATGAAAAGCTGATAATCATGCATTAGTTAATAAATTGTTTCTTTATTGTCATGGGAGGATCATTTTCTGCATCAGATATAAATGACATAGGTCAACACTGAGGAATGAGTAAATGTTGATAATGTAAATGCCCAGAAGCTTCCTGGTAACCAATATGTCTTATGAAATAGAGATGTTACAAAGGCATAATGAGCTTTCCCTCCACTGTTCATACCCTTGTATTCTAGACCAGACTAGCTTTAAAGTAGTTTTGATGGACAGCCCCATGTAGACCATATTGCAAATAACTAACTGGCTATGGCATAAGCGAGAGTAAGAATAGGCTTCTTGGTCTAGGAATGAGTACAACTAGCACACTATTTGGATTTGTACAAATGCCTTCTTGGTGACAGAAGCAGGAACTAAGAGTTCAGAAAGACCCCCAGGTTAGCCCTGAATAGGGGGATGCTAGGCCATTCAGTCCCAAGGATGGAACATGTCAGAATATTTAAATATTACTCAACTTTATTTACAGATACAGTTAACATTTTTAATATTAAATTTATAGTTTCTACTTTATTTCAAAATTTTCCTAACAGGTAAGGGAAGACCATGATGGCAGTCATACCTGCTTCCTGACAACACAAAGAGTCACACAGAAAGATCATGGGGAGATCTGCATTTTAAAGGTACAATACATTGTCTAGCATGGCTAGCTCTACTTGTCTTATCTATCTCAACTATTTTAAAGATGGATATTGAAAAGTCTGAACATTATTGGGGTGTTTGTAATGAAATGTAAGAAATGGTATGGAAATAATGCCTTGTATTCCCAGATAAATTACTATCAATATAGGAATTAACACATATATTGAATTGAAATCAACTTGGCTAATATTGCTGTTCACATTTTCTTGGAAATAAACTCCACTTAACTCAATGGATTATATTATGGAACACAGTATAACCCCTTGCATACTTATAATTATTTCTTAAATTTTAATGATTAATCTGCCAGTTTGTGAAACACTTCAGAGATTATTCTTCCTTGAGAACTTCATTAAATGTAACCATTTTTAATTGCTCTTAGATTGCATTTCTTAAGTTTCACTGTTTTAATATTGAATTTATATACCACCTTTCTATTTAAATGTACAATAAATAAAGTTGAATTACCCTCATATCATTCTTAGGTAGTGTTCTATTGCCTTTGAGGCATTACTAGATTAGAGCTCAGTTCCTGAATCTGGGTGGTCCCTCTGAAACACCTTTTACTTTTAAAAAAATGTATCTGAAGTGCTAACAGAAATACCACTCACGGGATGAGTTTTGAGAATGTAATAACTTGAAGCAATAAACCAAATTAAGTTTCTTCAATGCAAGCTCTTTTTGAAATGCATACAGGAGTTGTATAGCTTATTCCTCTTGTATTTTCATAAACATTAACGAGAGCTTCCCAAATATACAAATTATGATGATAGGAAATGCAAGATTATAATGAATGAAGTGAACAAAGTTCAATACTCATATCGGTGAGTATGCTCATAAAGCTTTCATGGGAAAAAGATCGGAATTTATAGAGCTACAAAGGAAAGCAGATTGGTATCTTCTGCAAGTAGGTACCCTGTTTCTCCAACAATATGGCCTCCCCCAATAGGAAGTCCCAGCATGTTTTATAGGCATGAAATGAAATTAAGCCCCTCCCCCCAAATTAAGGCCTATATTAAAACATGGGGGGGCTTGCCATTAGGAAGTACTTTTGTTGCACACCCGGATATGGTGCTGCTTGCGTTGACCCCAATACGAAGTGCCCCACCAATGCCGAGGTCAACATTCAAGCCATCGCCACCCGCCTGCCCGAAGATGCAAGGGGGCGGGAAAATTAAGTCACCCCTGAAAAGACAGCCTAGCCAATTTTTCGGGGCTCAAAAAAAAATAAGACCCGGCCTTATTATATGAGAAACACGGTACCTTTTGCAAGTAGATATCTGTATTCTCAATGGCACGGCCTATCTCTTCAGTTGTCTTTTTTGGGCAGAAGGATATCTGTTAACAAGATCTTGAGTAGATTCTGTCAGCTTTCTTTTCTCTGTTGGGATAGGTAAAGTTTCAGTTTTGCTTCAGTTTTGCTAACATTGGACTTCCTTCCTCCCTTGTTTTGCAGTCATGATTTTCTTATGTTCATTTTCCTCATTCACTGTCTCAAGCCACCAACCACTTTTGCATAATCTCTTCCCTTCCTTGTGCTTTTATGCCACTTTAGTCATTTCACAATATGTACTGTAGCTTACTGAATGTAGGACAATATATACCATACATTACAGTTTTAATGATTAGTCAATCTCAGTAAAGCTATACGTTACTATACCATTCAGAGGTAACAATACAATGATCCCCCATATTATATCAATGACAATAAAATATAACAATTTTAACATAATAAAACCATAGCACTGAACGACAGAAATGCATTACATACAGGTGGTATTCATTAGGAACAACTGGGGCTGGCAAATTGGTCATTAAGTGAAGTCACTAAATGACATCACGACTGTTTATAATCTTACTTCAGCTTTCCTTTGTTTTACAGACCTGTAAAGGTCATACATATGAGGATTGGTGGCAAAGTTACTTTTGAGTGATGTTCATCTTGTTTTTTTAGAATTATTGTTTACTTCCTAGAACTGCCATTGAGGAAGTGAGCAACCAACTGGAATCATCCATTAGCACAACTCCACAGCTTCCAGGGTATTCTATAAAATAATAATTTTCAAACTAGTGAAGTAATTTTTATACTACATTTTCTTAGGTCTGTTTTCCATTCATTTATTTGAGATATTAATCTATCTTCTGATATTTTTTAATGTATAATTGTAAAAATGTTCTGTTCCAGCAGTCATTCTATCTTATTCTTTATTATTATTATTTCTTCTCTTTCTTTATGCTACAAATAATTGTACATAGTACATAGCTCGGATTTGCAAAGTTTCAGTTTCTAATACACCACTTAGGCCTCAGATACTGACTCCTACTATATTATGGTTTTGTTAAATAAAGTCTTTTAGTAAGATAGAGGAGGAATAAAGTAGGACATCAGTTTTACTCACCCTACTACCACACACTCTCCTGCTAACTATAAGGGTAAAACTCATAAATTTTGGCTTTTGTATGTCACAATCATGCCAATACAAATTTTACTTGAAGCATTGTCAGGGTATTCTATACAAACTAGAATTTGTAATTTAATTACTACCTTGCAAGCCAACATATCATTAATCCGCCTGTCATCCAGGTAGAACATCTATTATAAAATTACATCTCAGTTTTTTACCTTACTGTAAAAAGATTTATGTATATCTGGATTATTATTTTTAAATAGTATTTATACATTTTGAGAGATCTATATAGTTGTGCATAAAATATGCAATTGCTGCACTCAATAATCACTTTTAGTTTGATATTTCTATTTGAAAAAAATCTTATGAATTGCACTTAGATTTATGGAATAAACTGCAAAACAACTGAAGTAATACAATGTCCCAAAAGATGAAAAACAAAAGAATGAGTGTTACAATTGATAAGCAAAGATAAAATAGCTGTAGTCTTTTATGTTAGGACTTTCACTTTAATCTTCAATTGCTTACTGGTTCCAAAAATAGGGCTTCTCAAGAAACAGAGCAAGGGGAACACATCCAAAATTGGAAGAACTTTCATGTTATCCTCTTTTCCGGGGGGAAATGTCGTTTCCCCCCCCCTCCTGATAATTGCGTCCTTTCTGCTTATGGAGAAAATATTGCTTAATTTGCAATTCAAAAATGTCCACTACTGTTTTTTTTAAAGAAGGTTAAAATACAAAACGCTAAAATATATTTAAAAAAAAAACAGAAAAAAACACAAGAAAATTAACAAGAAAAAGTCTTTTAAAAAAAGAGAAAAAAACTAACATCTTCCCTAGTTGAATGCTGATTAATATAATACATCAGTGTTGGAAAATAATTTTAACCCCTTGCAAAACAAGCCAAAATAATTTTAAACTGTTAAATTTCTAAATCAACTTACAAATTGTTAGCCTATCAACTATATTAATACCAAAATGATTAACAGGAAAAAATAATAATAATGAACATATTATATAAATGATTAAAAGTAATAAAATTGTGAACAGTAATAAGAACAGTAACAAGATTATTAATAGGGAGTTTTGGAAGTTCAAACTGTTATTGTAATCTCATAGATGGGATTTGATTGGGGACTGAAGCCGTAGTAAATTTTCTATAAATTCAGTACTGTTTTATGACAGTTTCATATCAACTTGCTGCTCTATGAATTCCCATTATCGATGGCCATAACACACTCCATTTATAATTGATTACTTATGTGCAAAAACAATTGCCTTAAACTTTTGCTATCATTATACTAATGCATGGGCATTCAGCATTGGATTCTTTCCTCCATTTTAAATACTATCATACACTTAGGTATATGAACTTTAAAACTCACAATAACTTTTTAAAGTGTCGTACCTTATGATTCTCGACTCCTGATGAATGTATCTTTCTTTTATGTATACTGAGAGTATTTACACCAAGACAAATTCCTTGTGTGTCCAATCACACTTGGCCAATAAAGTATTCTATCTATCTCACAATAACTTTTATCAAACTCAAGTGAGGTAGGCAGAAAAAGAAAAAAAAATTAGAAACTATGGTAGCTCATTCATTAAATGAAAATACACAAAATTATAACAAATCATAGCTTCAAATATATTCAGTTGCTGTACTCTGTAGCCCTATCTCTATTATTACCGAATTATTTCTGTAAATGGATTTGTTATTACAATTTAATGAAATTTATTATACCTTTTGTCCTTTCCTTTGGTGTTTATGTAATAAGAAAATTGTTACAAGAAAGTTGGCTCTAGACCGAGATCGTTAAAGAAATAAAATAGCATTACTTATATTGAGTATGATGACTTATAATCTTGATATTCTGTATATTGCCCACTAAGGTTTGAGGTTTTCTCCTTTTCCTCCTATCTATCCACGCCAGACTTGTTCTTCAGCTGTCTGTTTCTCTACTGATTCTTTCATAATTAAGGGTTTGCAAAGTCTAGAATCAACAGAGTTATTCTGTTAAAGGGTTTCTTGGGTGGGGCATTCCTGGTTATTCTTTGCACCCACAACTCAGAATAAGGGGTTTCTCAGCATCGTTCACTATTTACAGACTTCCCACAACTGATACAGAAAGCCATCTGTAGGCCTCATGGGACTATGCATGTCCAAAGTCCCTCATTCAGAATACTGTACTATGCATGATTGTATACTTGTGTATGTCCTGTCTGCACAATTTGTGCATTTTTATTTTTTAAATAGGATAGATTGCAAATCAAGCTGATCTTATATCTCTATATCAGAACAGCTGCAGCTACATTCAAATGTTTAGAAAATTGTGGTTGAATTATATATTTCAATGAGTCTCCATATGAACAGTAATGAATGCAGCTTTTGCAAGATATATAATTAAGTACAATGCACTTCTAGAAATTAGCTTATGCACTATTTGTGGGCAGTTGTTTAGAGATTTTAAATTTAAAAATATGGTTCCTGTGGCTGGTGCAGAAGCTTGGACATGCAGTAGATTTAGTGCTACCTTTATTTCATAATAAAGTTATTAAAAAGTGATAGACTCA